GTCAATTTTTCGTATTAGGAACTAATAGGAATAAGGAATAAGCGCATTTGATTTGGTTATAATTTTTTTGTTTGAATATATGGGTACTCTCCGCTATTGGAACAAAATTAGAAAGTCACTTAAGATACTTAGGGCTGACGTAGAATGATTGGCGAGAAGAATTCTTGGTCAGATAGTCAAAGGCCGAATTAGAGACAGTGTCCGAAGCCGTGTTCATGTTCAGTGTAGCAATGAATGATGCGAAGATGTACGATGGCCCTAAGACATCGAGTACGAGGGTCTTAGTTAGTGTACATTTACAACTACCCTCTCCATTGTTAAATGTTAATGGAATCATGCAATCATTGTTAATCGAATATTAAATGTTTATAATAGCGTATATAAACCGACTTTAATTTTTGACGACCCGAACGACGTTGTGGGTAGTGTACCTGCCTCCTGCGCCAGAGGGTGTGGGTTCGATCCCCACTACTGGAAAAATATTGTGCGATGAACATGGTGCTATTCTAGTGTCTGGGTGTTTATATATATATATATATATATGTGTAATATGTATTTATTTCCAAAAAAAAAAAGTATGTTTAAGTATAATTATCAGTTTTCTAGTGCCCATAGTACAGTAGCTTTGCTTAGTTTGCCTTTGTCTTAAAATATTTATATTTATTTATTTATAAAAAAAAAACTTTACAAACTTACTGCTACACTGATAAAAATGAAGTGCAATGAAATAGATATTTGAAGTGACTGTTGAACTTGCAAAAGAACTAGTTCAATTAGTCCTTTAAATTCTATAACTTCCTGTACTATCTAATACTATCGAAAAATCGTATTCCAGGTCTTATTGTAAATCTATTGCTGTGACATATTGATACGACTCAAAATTGATAAGGTGACTTTAATTAATGGCACAATTTTGAGCTTCGAAGCTTCAATAATATACGTTAATATAGACAAACATTTGTGTACATTGACAGAAAACAAAATAGATAATCTTAAAGGGTTCCTGTGTACCGATTGCGGTGCGAAACGTTTAGAACAATCAAAATTGATATTTAAACATTCATAACGTGTGGTACTTTACGCGTGCAAACTTACACATTGGAGCCTTGCTCGTACCTTTGCTAAATTAAGAGTACCGCATATCGGTGTAGACGTTAAAACGCTCGTGTCGTATTCGCGTACAAACGAGGGCACAATTAGCCCTTAATCGTGATTCGACACGTAACGACCATTGATGAGTGATTGTTCCCTAGCATCGCTCATTATAACCATTAACGATTCCCTGGTTCACAGCAATTACATGGATTTCCCTTGCATGGATATAAATGACAAACATAAAAGTTTAAAGCTAAAAGCAAATAATTAGATAGTCTGTAAAGTAATATTTTTAGGGTTAAACGGGACCAAAGGGTAAAACGGGAGCCTATTACTGAGACTCCGCTGTCTGTCTGTCCATCTGTCACCAGGCTGTATCTCATGAACATTTTAGTGGGGCCTCTCATATAACAGAATTGTGTTTTTTGCCATTTTTATAGATAATGTTTCCCTTCGTGCGCGAGTCGGACTCGCACTTTTCTGTTTTTTTCAAATGAATTTAAACAAATAAAAAAACAATTTAAACTTGAAATAGGAATGTTATATGTTTTTCATATTGCACTAAAGTACACCGATACGCTTTTTTTTCCGTTTTATATAACATGAAAAATAAATATTCAAACGTAAACACGAAACAACTGTTTTAGTTTCAGTTTCCCTTTTCAATTTAAGGATTTTAAAATCAAACTAGAATCCAGGCAAGCTCGTTTGGGTATCAAAATGCAGTACACAATAAGTACTTCCCGTGAAACATCTGCGTATTTCACATTTCAATGGGATGCTTTTAATGACGGTTCTCCATAAACTGTCGCCTTCTTATTTAAATAAATAAATTTACAGCTGTTTATACTCCAAATTACACTCAAACTTCAAAACCTTTAGCGTCATGAATTATTTAATTTCAAGTAGCACGTCAGTTAATTTGTGATGTAGCAAACATTTTTATTCAAATATGTGTTTACTATATAATATTTTCAAGAACCTCGCCTTAAGATACTGTATTTATTAGTATGCGTTTTAAAAATACACAAAAACTGTAATAAAGCATCGAAAAAGTTTTATTACAGTGTCACCGTGACCCGTGTCATAAATTTCATTCTCACGTGATAGTTTTTAGCCTTTAGTTTATGCGGTAATATCCAGAATTATAAGAGCCTTTCGGCTTTGTGACGAGAAGTTGAGATTCGATTTGTAACGGTAACCTTAAGTAATTTTTTCACATGCCACAATATACATAGGTCCAAATGGTACGTCACTGCCTTTTAAATTTTTTAATCTGTGGACGTGCCCTTATGTGCAATGGGACCCGTAAACTCGTCCATGGAAGCATAGACATATAATCTAGATAAGCCAAAGAGATACGCAAGGGCTCTGTTTATCCGAATCCCCTATATCGGACAGCACGAGTATTATTTTGACCAAAACCTAGCCAGTGCTTGACTATCATCATCTCACCTGATGTTAAGTAAATATGTTATCTTAGATGATAAACGCACTGTCTCAGTAACAACCCATTCATTCTTCTATGTAGTGTTTATATATGCATCTTTGACTGTTTTTATGAAATTTATTGCACCAAATGTTTCAAATTTATATTTAATATTGTATTCCAAACCTATGTACAGACCCAGACACTAGAAAAACAATCTGTTCATCATAAAATGCTTTTCCAATAGTGAGGATCGAACCCACACCCTCAGGCGACTGAGAAGTCTATTATTCATTACGCCATTGGGGTCGTCAGCTGTGGACCCTGCGTATATTGTTTGATGATTACGCCGATGTATTGCAGATGGTTATATCCGTGCCGTCGTGTTCATCGAACGGGAAGGGCAGTAGATTTTTATTGTACTGCTACGCGATCACTATCACTTTTATAGTTACCGTTCGTATAAATAGGCGATCGTTTTATCTTTTATCGTCCGTTACACTATTGTCCGCTTCCCGGAACCGGCGGCCCTCCGTTTTGTTCACTAACGTTTGCACATCGTCGGGTATCTATATAGCCTCTCTAATTTTCAAGTTAATTTCAATGACACCCAACTCCGATTATTGTGGTTTCGGTTTGTCCGTGGCGCTGATTAAACGCATGTGTCGTTCTTGCCTCACTGTTTTGTCGTTTTAAGCCTCTTTGGCATCTAAATACACTTAAATCGTAACAATCACAATAGGCTTCTAGGATAGTATTTGTTTTTCTTTACGTTACAGTGAGATAAATATTTCCCCTAATGTAATGAAATGCCTGTCGTTCTTTTCGTTCGACGGCAGATAGCTGTTTTTTTTTATTTTATTAAAAAAAATAGCCCTTACTTTAGGATAACGTTATCCTGTGTTGTAAAGGACGTTTTACAAATATAAACTTTACTCGGACAAACACCCAGATGCGTAACAACCATCTGTGGGCCACACAAATAGTTGTCCCGTGTGGAGATCGAAACCACGACCCCCGACGCCGAAGCCAATACCTTGACAACTGCGCCACGGAGTCATGATAATATAGTGTTGCGTGGCATAACCGCAATGAAATAATTCGTTCCTATTGTTTCATGCTCTGTGGAGCAGATTAAAAACTCTCAGCGGTTGAAAAGTGAGAAATCGTTGTGAGATAAATACTTTGTAGCGTTGCGTTGGAAAATAATCTAACAGCTGCGCATGTCGCAACTGTCATCTCGAGGCACGGGGATCATCTGAAAGATTAAAAAACATTTTGTTCTCTAATTATTCAAAAGTTTACTTCACATGTTTTTTTTTAAATTCTATACTGCATTTTAATTCGAAAAGCACCATTTCACACTATTGTCGTTTAATTTTTTAGCATTGTAATCACTTTTTAACACATTTAAAATTCAACTTTCAACAACAACAAGTTGAGCGCTCTCTTATCTCGTGTAGTATAAAATAAATTCTCAATCTTGATGTCAGGTCTGCTGTAGCGCTGAGAACACCTTAGTAAAGCTTACAGCGTTTGTGTGAAACTCTTTCCGAGAACAGAAACGGCCTTTCTTCCTCCGCACTGCTTAGTTGGTAATAATTTCAGGAACAATTTTCTTTACCGTAAAAAGGTTTTATCTATTCTTTGTGCTTGATAATTCTAAGTTAGTTATTCCCCTTAAAGGTTCTTACTCGATGTAACTGAAAGTAATTTATATTTTTATTCGTAGACATGAATAATGCCTATTATTCCAAATGTAAATGTGGTAAAATTATTTTTAAAAAATTCTGGAAAATTTTAAAAATAATTATTGCCGCATTTGAACATTTTTACTTTTAAGATGAAAGAGTTTATGATCTTACGATACATAAATATACGAGCTTGTAAACTTCGAATGACGTGAGCTTTACTCGCACGATTTATATTCGTATCAAACACGACCAACACTTTGTATGTTCTACACTTAAGCTATTATTAGCGAAAGTTATGATCAGCAGCATCTAAACTGAGCTTTTTTAAAGCAAACTTGGCTTTATTAGCATTTCTAAAATATCCAAGACTTTACCGTCAGCTCTTGCACTATTCGCTCTTTGATTTGCGCCGCGTGTTATTTTTTTTTTTTTTTTTATGTGAATAGTTGTCAAACGAGCAGACGGTTCACCTGATGTTAAGTGAATATAATTAATAGCCCATGGACATCTGCCGCACCCGAGGGTTACAGAGGCGTTGACAACCTTTTGAAAATTGGGCTCCGGCTACCTCACTCACCAGACGAAACGCGAAAGTATTTGTCATACTTCCACTTTACGCTGGTCTTCTGTGAGGTCGTGGTACTTACCCGGATGGGCCTGCCCATTTGTGCAACAGCCGAGACTGCTGCGTGGCCCTACCACCGTTATCAGTTATATTTAGTACGAGAAATTCCATTTACTTTTGCGTGTGGCCAGAAATGCCCACACGGGCAGTTCCATTAAAAGCAAAAGCGGGGAGGCACTTGCCCGCGGACCCGTAACGTTGCCGGGTGTATCTCAAGGAGCGTGTCTGCGACCGATTGCCGAAAGCGATTCCACGTCGGACTTCCGTATATCGGCGACCTAACAAATTGGCCGAATCCTATCTGTGGCCCCTCCCCCCCACACTCGCCCCTCCCGCGAGATCTCCGAACGGTAATCCAATTAACATACCCCGCCCGCGCCCGCTCGGCCTTTCCCCGTCCGCTCTCTTTGCCACGGATCCACGCACGTACGTACGTACGTAGAGACGGATCCGCTCGGTCCTTTACGGCGGCGCATAAAAGGGAACTGCCGCCGGTCAATCGGCGGCAACTGGTGCGCATCGCTCGTCCCGTCCCGCGTCCGGACTCAGTCGGGTAATGGAGCCGCCGCTACGGGATTCGATTCTTTCTCGTTTTTTTTTTTACCCACTTGGATTTTGCAATAATCGATTCGGCCCGCCCAATGTAGCGAAACGGACGTTGCGAGACCGTCGTTTTACACACACAGCATCGTATTCGACTCTTTCCCTTTTCATGTTTGTCTCATTACGACGCCCCAGTCTCCGTACTGCCTGCCAGTATTGACTTCTAGTCGTATGGAAGAGTTGTAATATTCGCTTGATTTGGTTTCGCAAACAACCTATATGTATTGTTACTTACGAGATTTTTAATAATGCTTCATTTTTCCAATGCTCCACTTCCACGTTTGATGAAATGGTTTTTACTCTACAAACGGTATCCTGTTTAGTAGTTCAGCAAATTATATTATATTTAAAGTCCGTTTAAAGTCTTTTCGGCACGGGCAAGATGTAAAAATCACACTCACACTCTCACACAACGATTTCCCAAGCCTCACACGGCTTCATTCTCCTTAATAAGCTATCTCACACGTCGTGAGCAACACGAATTTCTTTTTTCCCCCATCGCTTAATCAACGTTAAATCTCCGAGATCGTTTCCCCTTTTATAATGAAACAATGCGATTCGCCATCACGATTCATTTCAGCCGGCGAGCGTGCTTTTTTTCCACCCAGCGCCGTGGCCATTACGTGTGGCCATAAAGGGAACGACCATGGTAATGGACGGCCGAGAGCTTGCCTTACGGACTTTCGATGGACCCAATAGTTTCCACTCTTTCCGTTCGAAGAGGGCGGACAGGCGGACGTGAATGCGCGTTGAAATATTAATATTGTGGTGTATGAAGGCATCGGGGTTTGTGTGTGTGGGGGGCGGGGGGTGAAGATACGTGCCGGCGATTTTTTTCTCTCTCCGCACGCCTACGGCTGACCTTTTATCGAATTTAAGCGGTGGACGCCCGTCGGTCTGCTGGTAAATCACTGTTATTTCCTAATGCGATTGGAATTTTTATTCGGTTTGATGACGGTCCGTTCCGATTTTTGATTGTCATACGGAAAGATTTTTTTTTACTGTGGTGGGTTGAGCTATGCTGTAGATTTAGCGAGGAAAGGTATCTGGTAAATATCAGCCAGTAATCTTGCTGTTGTTGAAGAGTTTCATGGGCGGTTAACACCAACAATCGGGAGAACCGCTCGCTTGCTTGTGAAACTCTGTAACAGAAGTGTGTTCTCGTTATATTGCAAAATGAACATGAACAGAACATGAACGGAAAAAAACGGGAATAAACAACTTCATACCGGCAAAGGGGTTTTACACACTTAATATTAGTTTAATTTAAAATTTAAATTTAATGTCGTAAAATTGATTTAACGTCGCATTGTACCTCCACCCAGATTCAAAGTAACTTTTGGAGCCCACAATTATAATCTGTCATTATAACTGTAATTGATTTACAACCCAAAATATGTAATGTAAAAAAATGTTTTTGTATGACCAGCAGAGAAAGGTTATCCCATAGAAATGGCGTCAGCGTTCAAAAGGTGATATTAATGTTAAAAGAAGAAGAATTGCAGGTTTTGTTACCAGTTTTATAAAGCCTCGTGTAAACAAGTGAAAAAAGAATGTGAACAAATTGTGCGACCGTCCGTTTTATGGGGAATACCGTGTTTTTATGCGTGCAGATAAGGATCACATAGCTGTACATAAATTTCATGAATTCTGACCACTCATAGTTATAGATCGAAAAGTCGTGGCCTTAAAGAAAAAATATTTTAGACGTTTTATGTCTATCAAAGTTATGCTATAATGACGATCTTTTTCAATTATATCATTCTACAATTCAAATACCTCATAATTTAAGGGGATCCGTTTACGTTGCTATAATTCAATGGAACGACAAGTTATTTTCAAAAATTGTTGAAATCATTTTCCGATAGCCGTGGGTGGGCAAGAAGAGCCTTGGACGAATCAATTTATTTCGATTTCGCCCCTTCGGCGAGTTTTGTGATTCGAAATCGGACGGAAGGTAAATACATTTCATGCCGGTAGCTTGCAGTAATTGATTCTCTAAATATGATATTGCGTGTCGTGCTATTTGCTCTGGAATTTTTGCCGTCATAGTCGGTTTAAATAACGTTAAACTAGTGTGTTTATCGTGTCATAAATTGCTTTGTAACGTAACGGGGTTGGACGTCGGTTATTATTCTATGTTCTGTTGAGACGCTAACACTCATTTGTTACTATGAGTTTTACAAACGACGATGTCACTAAATTCCCTTACTATGACCACATTTTTGTTAAGCTGTTGCAGGGAGTGTAAGCACCTATTTCATTTATGGCCTACATTATATATTTGTGCATGAAAATCGGATTACCGTTTACCAGTTACTTCGGAGCTATCAAGTTAATTAATATTTAATCAACCACCTGAAATCTTAAGGCTTCTAAGAATTCCTTAGGGACGAACAAGGTTTGCGAAAATCTTAGTACCTAGTATAACGTATTCCATACTAACTTACTGACTAGTAAGTTAGTATGGAATACGTTATAAAGTAAATCAAAACTTTTTGCACAGAAGTCTTTTCGCTAGAAATTATGTCGACAAAAACTTTACTGATCGATAAATATGTAATAATTTGCTTAAAAAGCATTTTAACGAGAGTTTAAAGAGTTATTTTTCCACAATGCGCTTTGTTGTTAGGCCGCGAGTATACCACAATGTGATGCAATAAAATTAAATTGTAAATATTATGTACTTGAGTTAACTTATTGGGAAAATGTAATTATATTGATATGAAACTCGGTTTAGGCTTTTCAATATAAATAACTTTTCAATAAACATACTTGACACACTGAAATACGTATATAAATACGTGGTGACATATAACATTCAAGTATGGCGACAGTCTTGAACGTTTGTTCATAAAATGAATACACTTGTAATAATTTATTTACGAACAGGCGAGGAAAGATCTCGAGTTTTTTCAAATTATTCACACATTAAAATGATTTGCTAACGCTACGCTCGGCCATAACTCATTCGGACGGAGCAAAAACACCCGCAATTTTCCCACTTTTTTCTCATCTACATGTTAAGTTTTTTTTTTATCGCTCCTTCGTTTTACTTAATCACCAGTGTTCGTAGAAACCGTTGTTTTCGCTGCTCAAAATGGGTTCTTTGAAACCTGTTTGGATTTTATTTGCGATGTTTAGGGATTTTTCATATATATTTTTTATAGGGGGCAGTGTTGTTCGCGCTAATGTCTTGTAAATATTTGTATCTTTACTTTTGTTACATTTATTCTGTTTAGGATATAGTAATATTTTTTAAATACCAGTCGACACTTGTTAAATAAATCTATATAATAAAATGAAACTCTATCGTATTTGTGGTGGACTGTGAAGGAGGCCTATGTTCAGCAGGGGACTTAAACAGGCTGAAATGATGATCAATGAAATAAAAATATTAGTAGCCACTTACAGAGTAACACGCCCATTATTATTCGGTCGACACTGTTCTGAACTAATTTAATTTTGTGTTTTCTTTTAGGAAGTTAGTTGAGAAAACTTAAGAAAAAATAAATAAAACGGATAAGCTGCTCCCCTAGGCATTCAAGAGCTATCTTTACAATTCCAGATTCTGAGAAAAACTAAATAGCTAGCAGTAAAATAATAATAACTCTGAGAATAACTCTGAAAACACTGTTGTTTTTGTGTTTATCCACTGCCGTTCAGAGACAACAAGAATATGCCTTTTGTGAATATTAGTAGGCTTTTAACGTTAATTACAAAGAAAAAAATTATCACACATTTTACGGTGGTAGGGCCACGCAGTAGCCTCGGCTGTTGCACGAATGGGCAGGCTCGTCCGGGTAAGTACCACGACCTCACAGAAGACCGGCGTAAAGTGGAAGTGTAATACTTTCGCGTTTCGTCTGGTGAATGAGGTGGGCAGAACCCAATCTCCAAAAGGTTGTCAACACATCTGGAACCCTAAGATGTATGTAAGTGATGTCCATGGGCGGCGGTATTCACTTAACACCAGGTGAACCGTCGTTTGGCAACTTCTCACATAAAAAAAAATATCATTTGAAAGTTAACTTGACTTTGTAAAAATTACATATTTTTTATGTCGTTTTGATTTATTTTACTTTAGCTGTTTCTGGAAAACTTACAGCTAGAACAGTCATTGTTTGATCAAATTTAACAAAATTAAACGCCAATTAAAAGTTTTCGCTATTAGAAAATATTGGTATAGAATTACATGTTCAGCAGAGAAGCGTTGTAAATCGTGGTCGATCTTAGTTTGGTTGCTCTTAAAATGTCCGTTATGCTATCTAGGATCGGATTTCGTCCCGCATTAACCTTATAACGGCGACGTTGGACCTCGTAACAATTGGCTTTCATCAAACCCGATCCGGCAAACGCCAGACACACCTAACTTAATCAGCCGAGGGTTGGAAAAAAGAGATAGATGGACCCGAGGGGCCATGTCCCGGCGAAATCCATTACGCACTTTGTGCCCCGAAACATATTATCAACTTCTCTATCCATTTGACTGTGTGCCTCTCTGTTTTTGAAAGATCATCCATTATGGAGCTAAAAGGTTTTCCGCTAAGAGCCGGGGCCCGTATCCCAAAAGGCGGCGTTGAATTTTGTTTCGTTAGAGCTTTTAATGAGAATGGAACTTAGGTACACACACTCGATTTATCCGTAAAAGAAGTATGAAGCTTTTAGTAGATTTATAACTTTTTTTGAACACCTCAGCAATGAGTTTATTGCGTGAAGCGATTTTTTTTCGGAAGCTAATTAGGATATTTCTATTTTGGAAGATTTTCATAACGCACCAATCCGTCTACTTGTGTGTATATTTATGGTCCTGATTTCATCCATAAACATAAATAAAAATCAAACCTAATCAACGACACCACCTGTATATCCACTTCGTTACGGTTACAGACTAGAAAAAATTTAGCACAAAACTGT